AGAGAGAAATGTTGCCAAGAATGGAATTGCAGATTTGACAAATGTACTAAGTGTAATGGAGAGTACTTTGAATATGATAAGGTTGTTTTGTATAAAACATAATAATAATTAACTACATAACTTTGGGGGGAAAAGTCAGTTCTGGGGGGTACTACCTCGTATATTATATTCTGTAGACTGGTATAAGAGGGTGCTTCCAGTTTTCTGCAGAGTCCAGTTTGAATGCCATTTTAAATATATTTTTTAACTACTGAAAAATAATAAAGAAATACACATGACCAAATGTATCCTACACTACATTCTCACACTCTGGAGGCCTCTCACTCATTTGGAGTAAGTTAACTTGTTTTGAACTGAACTCAGGATAAAATGTCTCTGGCCATCTTTCTGTGTATATTTGAATTTACTTATACATTTTTTGGAACCCAAGAGTCTCTGTTTCCAAAACAATGACGGCCTTGGAAACCCCGTCATGCAGTTCGACTTTGTCGCTCTGAGTAAAAATTGATTTAATGGCAATGAGTCTAGTGCATCTTTTCTGGAGCAGATTACTAGGTCTTTCCCCATGCAGAGCCATTGGTAGATGTGAATTGCTGGCCTTTGGGTACCAGCCAAGCACTTAATCATTGAACCATGTAAGCCACTAAAATACTGCCATCAAGTCGACTCCAATTCAAAGAGACCCTACAGGACAGAGTAGGGTTGCGCCTATGGGTTTCCAAGCATGTAAATGTTTATAGGAGTGAAAAATCTCACCTTTCTCCCATGGAGTGGCTGATGGGTTCAAACTGCTGACCTTCTGGTACAGTCTAACACAAAACCCACTATGCCATTGAGGTTCCTAAATTAATCTATAGGGTGGATAGATGAAATAGAGCAAAGTAAGTAAAAGTATTCATAGAAAATGTAGATTTACAATGGAAAGGTTCTCGTGCCTTTGAAACTAACCAATTAACATAAATAAACCTTGCGACAATGCTTAACAATGCTCTCAAATGAAAGGCTGTAGGCGCTAGTCCTCGTGAAGCAGTGGTTTATTCTTTCATGTACTGGATTCCTTCAACATGTTATGAGCTGCTCCAGACACTCAAACAGAGCACAGAGGTCAGGGAGATGGGGAGTTGTGAGCTGTTTGCATAGCCGACAGGACTTGGTGGCCTGGGTGGGAGTATGAGCAGGAAACAGAGGAGCCCCCCTCAATCAACCCACATCTCTCACAACACCCCAACTCCAGGAGTTGAAGGTGAGAGATGCCGGGCTTCCTGGATGCTGGATTGTGTCGTGGGCATTCCAGGCCAAGAGATTCCACCAAGTCTCACTCTGTAGCTGAACTAAAGTGTGAGAAAGGGCTGAGAGAGGCAATCTGTTCTGCATGACCTAAGATTTTCCTAAAATCCTGGGAAATGTGGTGGAGAAATATTTTTTAATCAATAGACCTTCACAGGGAGAGTAAAATTGACCCTTGAAAAGTTAGCCAATTATTTCCTCTGGAACATTCTCACTTTTGTCTCCCCTTTCCCTCTCTGCAGGACCTGAGGCTGAGGGATGGAGGAGGCTGGGGAGAGAAGGGGAAGGGTGCCATAGGAGCATGGAAAGCATGTGGAAGCAAGTTGGGTGGGACCCAAGCACCTTGACCCTTGGGTTACAAAGGAGTGGTGGATGATTCTTCTTACCACCATTGTCTTTGTGTCTATGTCTAGGGGTGACCGTGCAAGCCCTTTCCACAGTTCCCGTTATGTTTAGCTACTGGGTGAGTATGAAGCCTCTAATTATCTCATGGTGGGCTAAGGTGCATGTCCAGCTCCCTGGAAAATAGACAGATATGTCAAACTTTGACACTGCATCCACTGAGCCTCCCACTAGCCTCCCCTTTAGAGATTGGCAGGGTCCCTGAGCCCCACACACTGCAGACTCCCCTCCCAGATCTGTCTTTTCAACCAGTAGAGTGGTCCTAGCCACACAATGCTATCAAGCACTTGAATGTGGTTAGTCCAAAATGAGAAGAGCCATGCATTATAAATTACATTATATTTTCACCGGAGACACAGTGCTAGACCAGCCTCAGCCGCCATCAGAACTTACCTGTCTGGGCATCATTCTTGTGACGCCCTGCTGGGTATCAGACACAACAATTAATTCTGATTTGACAGTTGTGTTATTCTGAGTAGACTAGAGAAACAAATGCATAGAAACTCATATGTATATAAGAGAGTTTTATATAAAGGGTAATTGTACATTAAGAAAGCATCTCAACCCAGTCCAGTCTAAGCCCATAAATCCGATATTAGCCCATATGTCCAATATCAATCTATAAAGTCCTCTTCAGACTCACGAAACACATGCAATGATGCCAAATGCAGGAAGATCACAGGCCAGTGCATGGGAAGTCTTATGGATCCAGTAACATTGTAAGCATCTCAGCACTGGCAGGGGTCTCTGCATGACTTCTCTGGCTTCAGAGGTTTGGTTGCATCAGGGTAGGTCCATGAGGCTTCTCCAGCTCAGGGCACTAGGCTGGTTCCATGTGTCTTGTCAGCTGCAATCTCTCCCAGGGAGTGAGCAGAGAGAGAGAAGTGCCTCCCGCCTCTGAGGAGGAAATCCAGGAGTTCCCAGAATTCTCATGAGAAGGCCATGCCCACACAGAGGCCTCATTGGCTGTATCTTGATTGACAGATTAGGCTCCACCCCTTCACTCTTAATCCTCTCAAGTACCAAATTGACACCAGATTCTGTAACTATCACAACAGTGATACCTGCCGAATATGTTACCTCCCAAGGACAGAAACAATCCCCAAAGGGGTTACTGGAGTTGGATGCCTTTTCCCAAGAGAACAAATCTTGAACACTAGACGGGCAGTGGTACAAACAATTAACATGCTTGATTACTAACTGCAAGGCTGAGGTTCAGGTCCACCCAGAGATGCTTGGAAAGGAGGCCTTGTAATCTACTTCTAAAAAATCAGCCATTGAAAAGCCTAGGGGGCACAGTTTGACTCAGACCACGCGGCATCTTCCACGGGGCAGAAAGTGATACTGTATGATGTAGAGTTTTTGTCATGATTGAAAGCCCGGGAAGGACCGTTTTTTGGACACAGCCAGAGGTAGGGAAGGAATCCTGGCATCCTTTCAGTTTAACACTAAGCATCTGCTCAACCAAAAAAAAAAGAAACCACCTTCCTGTTGTGATTCAAAGAGCCATGGAAATATGTGCTTCCCTCCACCCATGCTCATATGTTGGCACGTTCAGTCCTTATTTGTTCCTTTTAGTGTTCCATCCACATATTTTCCTGTGATCAGGTTCTACTACTTAAGATAAAAACAACTCTAAGACCTCAATATGCCTGGATGTCTGGCCCAGACGCTATGTCTTCTAGTTATGGCTTCAATTTTTCCCCAATTAATAGCAGCAGTTTGCTTTGCAACGACTGGTTTCTGGGTCCTCTGTAGCCAATGGCTATCCCAATCCTCAACTCAGATTTCTCGTGACGAACAAGCCATTGACACGCACCCCAAAAACCCCTAAGTCTTAGAAGTCGATCCCCAGACTTTTCTTCTGATGTGTCTCTGGGTTAGCAGCATTTCGGTTAACAGCCGAGCGTGTCAACGTTTGTAGCACAAGAGACGGCCAAGCCACTGACCGACGAGAAATAAGCTAATCCAGGGGGTATGCGATTCAGAGCAAATATCTAAAGAAGTGCATTTTGAATAAAGGCGGCTTCCTTTTCTATTTTGACCAGGCTAAACCTCAGGACACTTTAGACCTGTGCCAGCTTTTAAACGATGACCTGGCAGCCACTGTGGCGCGCTACCCCCGGAGGTTTGTGGCTCTGGGGACCTTGCCCATGCAGGCCCCTGAGCTGGCCGTCAAGGAGATGGAGCGCTGCGTGAAGGAGCTAGGCTTTCCAGGGATTCAGATCGGCTCCCATGTCAACCAGTGGGACCTGAACGCGCAGGAACTCTTTCCGGTCTACGCGGTGAGTAACCGGTGCTTGCGAGTCTCAGGCACATCTGCCTGATGCTACACTGGCCCAGGCACTGTGCTGGTACAGGGCCGGAAGGTGAACAGGTCACACCCTCGGGGGATGTCGGGAGTGGGGGTGGGTGGGAGTATCAAACTTGCCATGGAAGAAAGGTGAGACAAATGCTTTCCTGAAACTCAGTGGACTCTCTCTTCCATGGACCCCCCTTACTCTCCTTTTCATGGAAAGGGGCAAAACCAGGACTGTAGAGTGGGTAAGAGAAGATGTCCCAACAAAATGCTCACGGGACAGCCCTGACGACCTTCAAAGAGTCGCGGAGTAGTGATGGACAACACTTCCTTGGGGTAACTTTCCTGGCCTTTCTGTGTCTGTTTTTGACTTGTCATTACTGACTGCGGTTTTCAATCTACTTAAAACCTCTTCATAAAAAGCTTCCATGATCATCCGGGATCCTTCGAGGGAATCTAGTCAGATGACACCTTTGTGATGCCCAAAACCAATCACCCTAAGTTCTGAGCTGACCTCTCTGACCTGAAGTCCACTGTCAAACCCACCATTTTGACGCTGTTTTTGGACAAGCACCCGAAGGAGGCCGAGAGGAGTATTTGACTGAGAATTTGCCTGCAGTCACCCACTGAGCACAGAGACATGCTAGAACGTGCTTTGTTTGGAAGAAACCCGTGCATGTCTGTGCTGGACCTCCAGTGATAAAGCTTTTTTGACTTGCCCTCATCATTTCAAAAGAAAACATATTTTCCCAAAAGGTCCATGCCATCAATTTCTGAAGCATCCGCATGAAATGAGCATAGTCCCATAATCCGCTACACCAATCTTCTACCCTTCCTGTTCTTTCTCTAACTCGACCTGCTTTCCAAAGAGCCATGATACGAAATGCATAACTTCATCAAATTTTAAAGCGCCTTTCTTCTCCATGAGTTTTAATAGCTTTGCTTTCTGTTATATTCATTGCAAATGTACAATATGCAATGAAGTAAAGAGATGTTGGAGGACTAACCAGGCACTCTCGTTACAGATCATCACATTCATTCATTCATTCATTCAATATGCATTGGCTTCTTACTGCATTCAACTGTTTTTCTACACTTGTATCTATGGAGACTGCCCACAAGTTAGGGGATTGTCTGCTAAATTGTCTCCTGGTGGCCTAAAAGATTTAATGTTCTCTAAATATTGAACAGAACCTTGTTGTCTGTAATGGCTTAGCTGGTTTAGTGAATGTAGAAACTTGGTTATACTTAGTTATCTAGAAACTTGGGAGTGCTTTAAAATAAGATTTATGTATTGGTGCATTCAAATTGTTTCAGCACAGTGTGAATGAGACGTCAGCTGCAAGTCATTTTACATTCCTTGGAACAGGATGAATGAATCACTAAAGGGCTGAGGACGCACTGGTGGCTGGTTGGAGTCCCAATGGGTGTTTTCACAGATGTGTGACTCGGTTGTCTGGGAGGCGGCCAGTCTCTGAGGGAATGCGAGGAAAACCTCTTGGTCTCATTGACTTGTGATGTCCTGGGTTGATGGAGATCTGTTTGGTTAGCAGACTGGCCTGCTCACAACCTTCTAGCTTGCATCCATAATCCATGGTAAAAACAGATGAATTACCCTCAGCCCAGGTGGCTCTTTGTTTTGAGGTGAACCTGGAGCTCCAGCATGTCTAGCTCTTCTCCTTACCTGCCTTCTTAGTGACTGAACCCAACCACACATGCTCAGGCCAGTTGTCAGGTAGAAAACTGACCTTGTTGCCGCCATGAGACAAGCAGAGTAGTAGCGCCAGGTGGCCTGGCTCTACCATTTGTCGGCCACAAGACCTGAGAAAGGTCCTTCGTCTTTACGTGTGTGCCTTTGTTTCCTTCTCTGTAAAAGGGAGGTGGTAATAGTGCACGTCTCATCAAGGATGACGCTAGCTAACAAATGACATATTCTTACAACAGCTTTGGTCCATGGTACATTCTCAGCTAATGTTAGTTTTCATGATTCTGAGCCCTGGTGGTATAGTGGTTACAAGTTGGGCTGCAATTCCAAAGATCAGCAGTTCGAAGCCACCAAGAAACCACAAAACTTTCTCCCACTCCTTGGGGAAAAGGTAAGAAGCCCACAGGGGCAGTCCTACCCTGTCCTATAGGGTTGTTATGAGTCTTCATCTATCTATGGCAGTGGGTTTATCATGAGTTTGAGAGGAGAAATAACTTCTCTTCTGGTCTTTATAATGCCTCCCATATAGCAGATACTCAAAAGTATTCATTAATTTGAATTGAATAGAAATAAGCCTACACGCTAAAGTGTTATCTTACAAGGAGTCAAATTCCACTGAAATACTACCCTGATGGGCCTTTGACAGACCCAAACCGTCCCCCACTGTGTTCGTTATTTTCCATCTGAAACTATAAACTTCACGGGGGAAAAAAAATCCAATAACCTTTTTTCCCCCCATGAAGTTTTTGAATCCTCCTCTTATCATACTTCAATTAGCAACTCAAGTCTACTTCCCAGAAAAGATTGACACAGTGGCTGCAACAAAGGACTCAAACAGG